ATTGATTTTTTTTTCCTTAAAAATAAAAAAAAAAAAAAAAAGAAAAGAAAAGAAAAAACAAAAAAAAAAAGACAATTCCATTGATCAATAGCTCTATGAGTTTAAAATCACTTTAAATTATCATGTGGCTCCATCAGTTCCATTGATAATTTAATATTTATTTTGGGTTATTTTCATTAACTCAAATTGTTAAAGGACTAAAACTATTAATATTTTAGGTAAAAGATTAAAAGTGACAAACTTAATAAGATTAGGAGCTAACATAGGTTTTTTCCTTTATGATTTGGACTGGCCAGTTGTGCCTTTTTTGCAGAAGAGATTAGTGGTATTACTATTAGACTTTAATTTTTAACTTTCTTGGTTTGGCCGATTTGGTGGGCGTCTGTTTTTTCAAAACCGACAAAGGTTTGGTGGGAGTGTGCTCCAAGTTTTCCATTCAAGAAAACAACTGAAATGAAAAGTAGTATTCGTAATAGACTTTGTTAGTGGTAGTATTAATTAGCCAGTGAATATTCGATTGGTAGTAATAGATGTCTTGGTATTGTGTATGATTTTTATTAGTATTGACTTTTGGACTAAATTTTAGAAAGAAATTTTAAGATGAAATTATTTTATTTATTGATTTTGTGAGTTTATATGAAATCACATTATAATTAATAATTAATATAAATTCATCCTAAAATCTGGTCTTAAATTAAAGTGTAAACATGTAACTACTATATATTACACCATTTTGTTTCTATTTTGTTTGAATGGAAGGATAGGGAAGTTATTTAAACAAATTAAATTAAGTTCTTGAGTTAATAAAATAATTTAATTAATTAAATAACCTCATCCACCCTCACTTTTTATTTTTTCTATTTTTTTTTTTAAACCAAAGGGCCTCTAAAAGCATGAAACAAATTTACCAATAGACCACATAAGCAATGATGATATTAATATCAACTACAATATCGTATTTTTAATTTTATATCACTTTAATTAAGAGTTTTTAAAAATATTATTTTAACCTAACTTTTCATTTATT